AATCATCAAAACAATAATTTTCCCTTTTTATCAGTCTGCTGGTATCCATGGGGATTCATAGGGATACCTCCGCTATTCGTGAACCCTTTCCTTTAATATTCTCAAATGCGGGTCGTCCTCCTACGCCGTCCGGTATGAGCACCAAATTACTAAGTCTCGATACCTTGTCCGGTATGAGACAACGTTCACGGTAGGGTTCTCTATTGTACCCGGTCCGTCCACCATCTTTCAGGATATCCAATGAGGCTGTCGTTTCATCCATTCATTTAATCACACAATTTTTTGTTTTTCTTTAATCTCTATTTTTTCAATTCAATAGCGATCACATAAATCATACATACATGCATTTAAAGCTATAAAATCAATCAATAAGGTACTATCATGCATTTAAATTATAAAGACAATTAACAGAATAATAGTAGATAATTTCTGATTCTGGCTCCATTAGTAATCTGTGATTAATTAGGTACATTTTATAAATTGTAATAAAATACTGTATTTATTGTTAATTAGACTTCAATTCTATAACAAATAATAGGGTGATGAATTCTTACACAATCTGATATTTGAAAGGTTAAATTGTTGACTGTCCCTACTGGCGGTCCCCGGGTTCCCTGAATTTTTCTTCAAAAATTAGAACGCGCTATAAGTACCTACAAATATCCCAAATAAATTCAAAATCAGTCTCAGGGCCTATTTTGGCCAATTCCGGAATTCCGGCACTGCTTTTTACACAATCTGATATTTGAAAGGTTAAATTGTTGACTGCCCCTACTGGCAGTCCCCGGGTTCCCTGAATTTTTCTTCAAAAATTAGAACGCGCTATAAGTACCTACAAATATCCCAAATAAATCCAAAATCAGTCTCAGGGCCTATTTGGGCCAATTCCGGTACTGCGGCTCCACCGTGTGGCGAGTCCACCTTGGGTTAGTTATTTTCAGTCGTTTTCGGTCGAATTTGGCCAATTTTGCATCAATTCATGCGAGAAAACACATTAGAAGGCCTTGGTTAGCTGAAAAAATACAGAAAATCGAAACTCACTGGTGGCGGGACTCTCTGGTACGACGACTCCTCCAGCTCACGTTGCGGTTGAGTGTTTTGCTCCGATCAACCTGTAGAGAAAGAAATGGTGATCACAATGGTAGAAAAATTACACATAACGGGAATCAAAAAGGGATTCATCAGAGGTGTTTTGTGAAATTTTCACGACGACACCGTCTGTCTTTGTCCGCGATTTTCGGCCAATCGACCGATCCTTTTGCTCTGATTTGACCATGGGGGTGTTTAAAATTGAATTTCGAGCAAAAAAAACTTGTTTACCTCTTTTGGCGGTCGGAAGTAACTATGGCGCGGCGGTAGGTGGCGGTGGCTCTCCTTCTTGGCGGTTGGGTCTTCTTCTCCTGCGAGGGCGATCTGCAGCTAGGGTTAGGGTTTGGTGTAAAGAGGGTTATTTATAATTGTTCCCTTTTAATCTAGACTATCCACCGCTTTTGATCTGAACCATCCGATCGCGATTAAATAGGGAGTGAATCTATACCATTCATCGCGATCCAATATAGGTCATTCATCGCGATTTAATCTGGACCATCCGATCGTTTTTAAATTTGGTCGTCCGATCGTGTTTGGAGAGGAAATGCATCTGAGCCGTTCGATCGCGAGCACACGGATCGCCTGAGTGGCCTCCCGCGTGGCATCGCATTAGTACCCGTTGCTACGCAGCGCGTCCTGGTTCGTCGGAGCTGCTGAAAGGGCATCTTACATGGCAAAACTTTTTTAAATTACATTTCAACCATCAGTTTTTTATTTTATTTTTAAAAATACCCCAATAACCAAAATTTTCACTACTTTTTTTCAAAAAAATTTTTAATTTCATCATCCATCAATTTTTCTTCATTTTTACACTAAATTAAAATTAAAAAATTAAAAAATTATATTTATAATTAATTTTGGCATTACAATTTATAACAATAAATACATAATTGGAAAAATATTCATAATTTGTATATACAATTTTATCGTCCATTTAACTTGCATGCTAACATTTTCAACCCAAACCTGCCCAACAATCGAAGTTAGTGTAAAATATTATAGTTATCTTCTCCAACATTACTTGTCAAATGCAAAATGCTTGATAAGAACTTATAAAAATAAAGTAGTGAAATAAATAATAGATATAAAATATGTTACAATTGAATAAAAATATTTAGATTTTTTAAGTCTAACCCAAACAATATCATAAAACTTCAAGTTCAAGAACCTAACCAAACCTCATGTAGCTGTTTTAGAGGCAGTGTATCTAATGAGCCAATTAGTATGTGAGAGGTGCATGTGTCATAATCACGAAGAAGAGATTATTTGATCTGAATCATAACTCTGTCATTGGCCTATTGAAATAAATGAACAAGGAGAAACGAGTCTACCTCAATGATCAACTTCATAGTCTCCATATTCTAAGCCAACTTAATCCCGTCCAGAACACCCAAACTCTTTTTTATTATAGGTATTGTTAATTACTATATGTAAATCATATCACCCACCAACTTTTGTTGTTATGATAAGGTCTCCTTTTGTGGCATTAACTGGATCACTATGTGCTAAACCATTGGTGTTGAACTTAAACCAATCTTAGGAGAGGTTATCAATCTAAATCGGCGCCTACGCACAATTATTAATACTAAGCTCCTATGTTTCCAAACTTCTATAGCTTGAAACTCGAGGGCAATGTTGATGGTCACATAACTTGAGAGTGTTACAAACCTATTCAAGACCCCATGTACCACCTCATTCCTCTTCTTCCTCGATAACAATATAGTAGGTGACCTCCATTTTCAATACCCATAAGCACTAGCTTCCTTATGAAGCTTCCAGCAAATTCACTTTGTCAAGAGGATGATTTATTAAAGGAAAAGAAAAGAACAAAATTCTTTTATTAATTAATTATCTGTAAATGCAAATACGACAATTCAAAGTTTCTCTTTCGAAGTGCACGTGGTTTCTTGGCTTTCTAAACATCTAACACTTCAACATGCTTATCCTCTTCGTATTTTTTCAAATATATATATATATATATATATAAATAGTCTTATCCTCTGTGATATATAATTATAATATATATTACATTAAAAAACAAATTAAATAAATAAATAAAAATTATACACGCTTGTAAGAAAACAGAGAGGAGGGGGAACACGTGGATTTTTGATGACGTCATATGACACGTGTCAGTAAATGAGTGGTATGCCGTGTCCGGAAAAGTCGGAGAGAAAATATAAAATTTGGTGAACCAAGCTGGTTACCATCATGTGAGGGTGAAGTGGGACCCAATAAATGCGGCGCAGGAGGCTGGGGATACGCCGAGTATTGGCTTTCCCTCTACGCCTTTTTTACTTTTTATAGTTTATGCTCCAATCATTAGTTGAGTTTGAGTGTCAGGAAGAATTATTCCTCGTATACCCTAAAGTTTTCAGTTGTTGTCACAAGCTAATTCGGCTCGGCTCGGCTCGGCTTAATCTTATTTGGCTCCACTTTTATATTCATCAATAATTAGATATAACTATAATAAACTGTTATTTCTTTTATCTTTTTTTTTTTTCCTTTTAATTTTAGCCATAAATATATTGTCTTGAAATTAAGTCTAAATCTAAATTTTCAAAATTCTGCAAAAATTGAATTCAATAATTAAAATGAAAAACAAAGTTTCGTTATCAAATAAATCAATCTATAAAATACACGTTTTGTTTCTTTTTTTAAAAAGAATTCAGTTCATAATATTAAAGTATGTTAAAATAATATCTGATAGGAAAATCTCTCAAACTTAAAACTTTAAAAATCCACAAGTGATATTATAGACCACTTTATTACAATATCATCTTATTCAATATATTAAAATATCGGACCAAGTAGATAATAAAGATTTACAATAATCAACTATGAAACTAAATTATGAGCTATATTTCTTATTTATTGTCAGTACACGATGCACTTTTAATGTGTCGGTTTCAATTCTATTTGGGTTTGGACAGTAAGAGACGATGTAATTTAAGTTATTTCGACATTTCAAAAGTTCTCTAAAGTAATAGTTTCTGCAGCTATGAAATTTATTTGAGAAAATAATATTACCCAAACCTTCTAAATTTCTAACCCCTGTCCCGTAACCAGCTTCGCCACTAGTGTCAAAGATGATGTCATCGATATTGTATTTTTTATATACCCACTAACGGTGTTAACCATTATATTTTAGAGCTATCGTTTGTATCTTGTGTTTTTCCTCGTATATCTTAAGTATACCGTCATACACATTTTGTTTCTAGGCAAGTGAGATTATGGTCAATTTCTCAATTTATTAGTGTCCGCGAAAATAAATTTCAACTCTCAACTTGCTAAAGCAAACAAATTATTTAAATTTCTTTTTTTGGTATTTCGCAAATAAAATCATGTAAAAGCTTTATATTTATATGTAAAAATTGTTCAATTTAAAAAAAAAAAATTGGAGGAAATTAGTACATGCTATCATTTGGGTTTATTTTTCTTTTAGAAAAATAAATTTATGTAAAATTTAGTGTTTATTTGATCCAACTTTTATTTTTTTAAGTAAAAAAATATAAATATAACTAAATATTAAAAAAAAAGTGTTTTAAGCTTAGAAAATAATATATTTGTAGAAATTAGTGTCATAGAGGGTAAATAATATTTTGATCTATATATTTTTTTATTTTAATAATATATTAATTTAATATTGTTAATTTATTTTATTAATAATTTTATATTCATTAAAGAATTTTTAACTAAATTTTTTAGAAATAAATAATAATCATATAAAAGTAATCTTTATACGGACTGAGATGAGTAAATTTATAATAATTATTTAACACTTTAATTTAATAATTAAAAAAATGAAATTACTCAGTTAGCTAAGCCAAGGTATAAGCCAGAAGCTATAAGCTATAAGCTAAACGAAGACGTGAAGCAGAAGAAAAAAGCAAGTGTCGTCATTTGTTTACGCAGCCGACTTACTTCCATGAACAAACAAAGTAGCTTGACAAGAAAACCAGGCCTTTTATGGTGACGCCATATGACGACACTCGAATCAACTTCAAATCCTCTATAAATCACGCCTTCCTTCAACTTCATCTCACCTCTGTTCTGTTCATGGCGGATCCCGATTTTCAAGAGTCCGACACAGTATTCTCCGACGACATCAAAACTCTCTACAAAGAAATTGTCACCACGCGGATCTCACACGCTACTACCAGCAAAACTAATCATATCGATCGATCTAAGAAGATTAAGAAGAAGAAATCAGTGTCGAGTGCGATTCCGGTGAACAATCCGGCCGGAAATTTGTATCGTTGTGTGGATTTACAGGATGAAGTAGATGATGATGTAGGAGAAGACGATGAAGAAGAAATGATTCCACCGCATGTAATAATTGAGAGGAGAGTTCAAAGGAAAATGGCGTTCTCTGTTTGCTCCGGGAATGGGAGGACGCTCAAGGGAAGGGATTTGAGTCAAGTGAGAAATTCCATTCTTCGGCTGACTGGTTTTTTGGAAACCTAATATTTTCACACCTTCTTCTCCATTCTTAATTTCAAACTTTTTGATTGTGGCTAATAACGCCTATACATATATATGATTTACAAGAAGATACATTCACTCGTGAAAACCAGAATCAATCAAACTAGCTTCGTCCTTTCTGGGATTAAATTCTTGTTAATTGTAGCAGAAAACTTGGATTTAGAAACACAGATTTCTAATCTCACTAATTGTTTTTATCTTCATTAATTATCTATGTTCTTTTATATTTTAAATATATATTATTCTTAATTAATTCTCAAATTTTAATTATTTAATAATTTAATCAAGAATGCTCAAACTCATAATGGTTCATTTGGACATATTTTATATATCAATATGTCTAAATTATAAGTATATATTTTTTGATAATATGTAATTGATTATTAACTCCATGGTTAATCACACAGTCCCACTTTTTCTATTTTGAAAGTAGACATAAATATATATTTTCTAGTAGCAATTAAGTATATACCACTAATTAATTTGAAATAAACTTATAAATTATGAAAGACTTTGTGCATATCTGTTAGTAAAAACTATTAAGGTCAAATATGTATATATTGACTTGTAGTGTCCTCGGTATGTGAATGATCTTATTGGTGATAGTAACACAACCAATCGATCATAATGGGTGCATATAGTAGAAAGTCACGAAGCATTGCATGATTTTAATGTCCTGATTAAGATTTATAGCGTAGAAACGCAAATCATTTTAAGATAGAGCTCCTCGGGAGCTAGATGATCTTAATCCTCCATGGAGATTGAAACAGGAGTAACTAATTAAAGGAACATTATAGAAACATATATTAAAAGGAGTTGTTGTTTATACTACATGACATTAGTCCAAAGTATCACTAAAACACATACTTGGTACAATTTGGTGTATAAAATGCCACTATAAAAACTTGTTTTTAGATAAATATCAAGTCTTTAAGAAGCATTCAAGGATAAAGATCACTTTGGCGTAGTATGTTCTTTTTATTTAAGAAAGCGAGTAAGATTTAAGTTGTATGAGTAGTGAAAATGTAACAATCTATGAACTTGAAAAGAAATAAATTATGAATTGAATGCGGAAGCGATATAATAAATTAGGGTTTACATTCCTTACACAATAATTCGAGATACCCAATGGGATTACGGGAGTGACTCTTCTAAAAGAATAACTAATAACCCAAAAAATAAATAAAAAATAAACAAATTGAACATCCTACTCGCAACCCTCTTGTGGATCGGGTTCTGGATCTTGGTTCTCTTGATCTGAAATGGTTAATGAAAGAGTGAGCTACACTAACCCAGTAAAAATATCACGCTACTCACTGACACAAAAATGAAGGTTGGTAGAAATTATAAAAACAACTAATAGAGCTCTTAATATAAGTAAAATTTATTTATCATAAATAAAATCATTTACCGCATGTTTAACATAGTGAGATTTTCAAAAAACGACCTATAGAGTCAATAATATAAACAATATCATAATTTCATATTCAATCAATCGGAATAATAACTTTCTCATTTATCAGCCTACTGGTATCCATGGTGGTTCATATGGATGTCTCCACTACGCGTGAACCATTTTTCAACATTTTCAACTAACGGGCCGTCTCCATACCCTGTTTGGTATGAGCGCCAAGAAATACCATCCCTCAACATCCCGTCCGGTATGAGGGTGAAACGAGTCGTCGTCCCCATACCCCGTCCTATATGAGTGTCAAATTACCAATCCTCGATATCATATACGATATGAGGCAACATTCATGATAAGCTTCTCTATGTACCCGGTCCGTCCACTATCTCCTAGGATATCCAGTAAAGCTACCATTCGTCCATTCATTTAACCAAATAATTTCTCGTTTACCTTTAATTTTCAGTTTTCTAATTAACCGCAAATCACGTAAAACAAGCAATACATGCATCAAGTAAACACAATCGAATTATCATACCAATTCCAGCGTATTATCATGCATTCAAAACTATAAGATCAATTAATCAATTAAACATGGCAAGCAGTAACAAATAACCAATTCCGGCTCTATTAGTAATCTTTAATTATCGATATTTCTAAATTATGCAAAATATCATATTATTTATAATTAGACTTCAATTCCATAACAGGGAATAAGGTGGTATATTCTTACTCAAATTGATATCCGAAATGCTAAACTTTCAGCTGTGCCTACTGGCGGTCCCCGGGTTCCCTGAATTTTTCTTCGGGATTAAAACACGCTTCAAGGACCAAGAAATACCCCCCAAAATATCCAAAATTAGTGTTAGAAACTCTTTTTGGCTAATTTCAGAATTCTGGCACGGCGGCTCTACCGTGCTCCGGCGACGGCATCGCCGCCCACAGTGGCGATTTGCCTCGAGTTAACCGTTTTTTGCTGGTTTTGTACTCATCCCTACGATAAAACACGTTAAGGAGTCTCGATTGGCCCAAAAAAATTGAAAAATCGAAGCTTACTGGTGGTGGGGTTTTTCAATGCGGCGGCTCCGCCGGCTCACTTTCGTGGTTGGGCGTTTTATTTCAGTCAACCTGTAGAAAAAGGATTGTTGATTACAATAGTGGAAAATTTACACGAAATAGGAATCGGGAAGGACCTCATCGGAGGCGATTTTTATTTTTTCCCGCGACAGTATTGCCGGGCTTTATCCGCGGTTTACGGCTCATCCGACAGTCTTTTTACTCTAACTTGACCATAGAGGTGTTTAAAATTGAATTTCGAGGGAATGAAATTTTTTTTACCTCTTTTGGCGGTCGAAAATGGCTTTGGGACGGCGGTAGGCTGCAGTCGATGCCATTTCTGGCGATTGGTTCTTCTTCTCCAACGGGGGACTCTGGCGGCTAGGGTTAGGGTTTGGTGTGAAGAAGATTATTTATATTCGTTTTCTTTTAATCTGGGGTATCCATCGCATTTGATCTGAACCGTCCGATCGAATTTAAATAGGAAGTAAATCTGGACCGTTCATCGCAAATTGATATTCATCGTCCGATCGCGTTTAAATAGAAAATGAATTTAGACCATTCATCGCGATTTAATATGGGTCGTCAGATCGCGTTTAAAGGAAGAACGGATCCAGACCGTCTGTGTGCGCAGGAACAAATCTGGACCATCCGATCGCTGGCACGCGAATCGCCAACGTGGCCTCCTGTGCGACACTACGTCAGCGTGCCTTGCCACGCGGTGCGCTCCAATTCGTCAGAACTGCTGACTGGGTGTCCTACGTGGCACAGTTTTTTAAATTATATTTTGACCTCCATTTTCTAATTTTTCTTTCAAAAACACCCGCAGAACCCAAATTTTCATCCATTTTTCTCAAAAAAAATTTTAATTTCATCCTCCACTTATTTTTCTTCATTTTTACATTAAATAAAAATTTAAAAATTATATTTATACTTTAATTTTAAATATATTAAAATTAATTAAGGGTATTACAACTCTCACCCCCTTAAAAGAAATTTTGTCCCTCAAATTTGTCTCTCTCCCATTCAATCAAACAGTTGGGGATACTAGCCTTCGAAGTCTGCTTCTAGCTCTCATGTGACCTCTCCCTATGTGTGATTTTGCCATAGGATCTTAACGAAAGAAATTTTTCGGTTGCAGAGTACTCTGCTCTTTCGGTCCACAATACCCATCGATATCTCCTTGTAGGATAGATTCTCCTAGAGCAAAAGTGGCTCGTGGGCCAGGACATGAGAGGCGTTCAGGTTGTACTTGCGTAACATGAACACATGGAATATATTATGGACCTTGAATAGTTCTGGAGGCAGTGCCAGTCTGTAGGCGACGGTGCCAATTCTATCTAAGATTTCAAATAGTCCAATAAACTAAGGATTTAGTTTTTCCTTCTTGCCATACCTACTAATTCCTTTGAAATGAATGACCTTAAAGAACACTCGATTACCTTTCTCAAATTCTAAATCCCTCATCCGGGTATCTGCATAACTCTTCTACCTGTCCTAAACTGTCTGAATGTTCTTCCTGATCTTAACTATTTTGGTTGTAGTCTCATCTACAAGATCTAAACCGCAAAATTTTTTATCACTCACTTCTTCCCAATAAATCGGCGATCTGCATGGATGGTCATACAACGCCTCGTACGAAGCCATGCCAATACTTGTTTGGTAGCTGTTATTGTAGGTGAACTCTATTAGAGGTAAATGATCATCTCAGTGGCCCCTGAAGTCAAGAAAATAAGGTTGGAGTATATCTTTTAGTGTGCGGATTGTCCTTTCTGATTGTCCATCAGTTTGGGGTGGAATGCGGTACTAAGGAACAGTTTTGTTCACATGACTTGCTGAAAACTAGACTAGAATTGAGAAGTGAACCTGAGGTCCCTATCGGACACTACTGTCACTAGCACTCCATGTAACCTGACTATCTCCCGGATATACATTCTTACTAGCTTGTCTAAGAGATCGGTCATCCTGATGGCTAAGAATTCGAAAGACTTGGTGAGCCGGTCAATAATTACTCAAATGTCATCATGTCTCGAGCGTATTCTAGGCAATCCTGTCACGAAATCTATTGCGATATGTTCTCACTTCCACTCCAAAATTGGTAATGGCTGAAGTAGTCCGCTTGAGTATTGATGCTCTACCTTGACTTGCTGACATACCAAACACTTAGAAACAAAGTCTACCACATCTCTTTTCATTCCGTTCCACTAAAATTGGGGTTGCATACTTTGATACATCTTAGTAATTTTGGAATGTATGGAAAACTTTGAGCGATGGACATCTGTCATGATGTCTTTTTTCAACTCATTATTACTTGAAACACACACATTGTCCTGAAATCTAAGTAACCCATCAACAGATACTCAAAATTCTGAATTAACTCCCTATTCTGCATCTTTCTTGAGGGCTGCTAAGGTGGAATCAGCAGACTGAGCTTCCTTTATTTTCTGTATCAATGCGGGTTGAACAGTCAGGTGTGTCAAACATGTGACTCTCTTCAGGTCCTTAGGTCGTACCTGTTGTGCAGCCCCTATTACCCTACATTCTGAAACTATCAAATGAGCTAATATACCTGCACTTTTTTTACTGAGTGCATCAGCTACCATGTTGCCCTTACTCGGGTAATATAAGATGTTGCAATCATAGTTCTTGAGGAGTTCTATCCATCTTCTCTGACGCATGTTGAGATCATTTTGAGTGAATATGTATTTC